TACTCAAGACATCCTTATGGAGCCTGAATCCTGGCCCGATGGGAATGCCAGTATTGTTCCCCTGCAATCCTTGTGGTACAGACTTTCTGTTCGATCTGTTCCTTCCTGGTTTTACTTGAGCATGTCGTACCTGGAATGGCTCTTTTGCTCTCATTCTTACTCTATTCTACGAGGCAGGAATAGAGTATTGGTCGCTGTCCAGACTTTGGACAGGGATCTTGGGAGGAAAGCAAGGCAGGTTGTCCTGTCTACTGACCATCCAGAAGTGTGTCACTTCAGGCCCTCTAAATTGCTCCCGCGTGTCCTTAAAGAAGCCACTCCCCTTTCAGAAGCAGAACTCATTTATGTCCAATGTCAAACACGAGGTACAAATGTTACATGTGGCTGCGGGTGATAGAGGCCTAGCTAATGAATGACTTAATTTCCTTCCTGTAAATTGACAGGCCCTCTGAAATCAGGAGTACAACTATGAAATGACAATCCCACCGCCAAAGACTCGCTGGTGTGTAAGCGCTGACAGGACTTTATTATCCGGTTAAGAGCACATTAGCATATCTATTAGATGAACACTCTGCTACACAATCAGAACAGATAATGCCTAACTGGGTCCCCTGACTTATTTGTGAGCAGCTTTTTTTTTTTTTTTTTTTTTTTTTTTTTTGGACCATCTGGGGACAGGGAGTTAGATGGAAATACTATTTTCTGGACTGTTCAGATTTAATACTTCTGCCATTTGGATAACAGGGGACAAACTCGTGACTTGAGAGTCATGCAGGTGAGGTTTACTATCTCTCTAGATAGGGCACGAGCAAGGGGTCCAAACCTAAGGACCAGCAACTTTCCTAAACTGCACCCTCACAAAGGAGGCCAGGCAAGCATCAGGTTCTCGTCACTTGCTGTCATTTTCTTTATGTTTCCCCAAGCCTGCTCTTCTTTTTGAGATGAGAATACACAAAATAGCAGCCGAGAAAGCAGGATTCATCAGTATGAGTCTCAACATATCAATTTTCAAGTGTAGCAACTTTAAACACACGGTAGGCTTTTAGTTTCCATAGAAAATAATCTCTCATTGTTTTCAAAAGAAACTGAAAGCACCCCAAATTACCACACTTTTAACATCCTGACATGTTGATGGCCCGTGTTCTTCACAGATCAAAGTCAGAGTGGCAGAAGACAGTGCCGAGGAGCTTAGCACATAGTATTTCATAGTTAGCAGGAATTACAGTAGTGAATAAGACAAGGTGACTTTCTAATATCATTCACACACACACACACACACACACACACACACACACACACACACACACATCTAAATTTCGGCAGCAATCCGAAGAGCCAAAGACTAACTTAGGATGACTTAAGTGTTCCCATATTTTATTGTAGTGACGTCCCTTCCTGGTCACATGGAACAACTGATGGAAACATGAGAAGGATTACGTCTGTGTGCTTTGTAAGTCAAGGATGACAGACCGGATTGTGTGTCATGAGGAACCATTGTGAGGACTCTTATGTCAGAATTTCTAGGATCATGTGGATTTAACAGTAGAGTCACATGTCGGAAGTACCTTCCTCCCTTTATGTGGGATGAAGGTTCTAGCCGGCTCCTGTTGTGTTATATATACTAGGAAGACGAAAAGACAGTATATTTTTGTTACACAGCTGAGAACATCTATCCTGGCTATATAACTTGAGAACTTAGGAATATAGGGGAACTTCTGACATTGTAGGCAATGAAAGAACATGGAAAAAAAAACAAGAAAGAAAGTCATCACTCATGAACATAGTTCCCTTGTCTTTTCCAGCCAAGCTCTTCTATACTAGGGTCTGTTTGGGCCAGGGGCTGAGTGACATACAAAGTAGTCTCATGATGGTTCACACTGCTTTTCAGAGTAATTTCTTCCAGAGTGTTTTCATGCTAGGGGGATTTGGAGCAGAGGGGATTGGATGGAAGAACATTTCATGAAAGTTCTCTCACCCCTGCCTCATGAACAGGAAACGGGGGAATCTTTCCTGTGTCAGTGAGGGCCCACAGCTTCCAATTTGCACAAGGGCTGGCATTCTGATTTTACACCGACCCACGTGCCTGGATATATATATATATATATATATGGAGGAGCTTGTCATGGGGCGAAGTTATTCCAAATTGCTCACTTCTGGAAAGGCTTCTCTCCACGGGTTTGAACATGCAAGAAAGATAATTTGACCTATTTGTCACAGTGCCTGGCAGGCCTGAACCCACTGCCTGCCCATAAACGTCCTGGGGCTGATGCTTCAATTTCAGGACCTGTCATGTTCTTGTGGAATAGGGAGTTGCGTGTGAACCAGAATAGACTGAGGTCCTGAATGTGCCCGTCTTTTTAACAGGGGGGCCAGGGATTTTATGTTTCACTTCTGTCCTTCCCTGGTGGCTTGTTTTAGGTTGGTACGATCAATGCCTGCGTCCCCACAACCCTCTCCTCTGTGTTTGCAGTGCAGTGTTTATACCCCCGCAGCTTTGTAATTAATAATATGCTGCTTTTCATCTTCAAAGTGATTTATACACATTAATTAATTCTCACTGTACTTCAGAGATTCTGTACGTAAGTAACTATCATGCCCTCATGCTGTACTTAGGAAGCCAAGGCTCAGAAGGCAAGCGGTTCTCCACAGAGAAATGGATTGCTGGGGCCAATGTCAGCACTTAGGATCCTGACTCCTCACTGAGCCTGCAGATCTCTCCTCATCTCTGGGGAAGAGCTGATTGTACCTTGTAGCTCCACATTCACTGCCATCACTGCTGGGCAAACTGGCCTGTTACATCACTCAATTTGAGTCATAAACTATTTTTCAGTACTCCAGGGTCAAAGCATAGTCTTACCTAAAGCATACAAAATAGGAAATGATGGATTAGGAAACATATTTATCCTCAGTCTGGAGGCTATTGGAAGCTGGGCCTGAGCATCTTACTATGGTTTATTGGTTTATAATCCATCATTTACAAGTTACGCACCCGATTAAAACATTAACCTCTCGCTACACAGTTGCCCATTTATATGACCACCCTTACAGAAAGCTATTATATTTTAACTATCAAGCTCAATACATGGGCGCTAGCCATCTATCTCTCCCCTGCAAAGGGAGGAGGAGCTATATTGGGGATGCCATTGGCAGGGGCAGGCAGTGCCTCAATTTCTGCATCTGGGCTCCCCACGGTGCCCACTGGCCCAGCAGAACATTAAGCACGAGAAGTAAGCACATGGACCCTTTTTGAAGTTTCTGACATAAAGCCAAATCATGCAAAGACCCCAAATTTGTCAAATTCAATTTGCTTCCACCAAGCCCCTGAAACATCGGGGGACTCAAAGATCCCAGTTAGGTGATGGGGGGGGTGTCAAGTCAATCCATTGCTGTATCCTTCATCAAGAGGTGAGATGCCGATGTGACTTGAAATCAGGGACACTGAGTGTCCGTTCCCACTGAGAGCTGAGGGCTAGAGTGAAAACTCTTTTTGTAAAACCCCAGGCAAATATGGCCCCTTTCCTTTCCCTGAAATATCAGCATTCTCACATTTGGAGGGCACTGCTGGTAAATGCAGCTGATAAAGAATATATAAAGGTTTATTTTTCCATATTAAGATGAGCGTAGTTATACTGTGGATGACAATAAAAAGTGTGTATTGATTTTTGGCTTGTACTAGTCTACCTTGGGCAGAGCTGGTATTCAGATTTCTAGAGGCATACCATAATACTTCTGTGCCATCAGGTAAGCTCAGGTCAAATGCCCTGGGAAGGACTGGGCCTGCCTCTTTTCTGCAGGCACCATGCCAGAAGGATGGGATTAAGGCAATGTAGGAGCTCCACCAATGGATGAGAAAGGAGGGCTGATGTTGGGAAAAGGAAGGCCAGCCGCATCAGCATCAATGTTGCTTTGTCTCTTTTCCTAAAGGGGAGGAGTTTTTCTCCCTGCATGCTTGGAACTGTTTTGGAGTCAGCCTCTTTTAGCTGGTGTTTTATAGGTTTGCTTTGCAACATGGCACAGCCTAACCAGGGAGATCTGTCATAGCTGCCCTAAAAGCAAGCCAGAACCATCAAGTGTTTCAAATAAACCTTAACAAACATCACCATGGCCTCTGCCTGGGCCAGGAGACCTGTCATTGGCAAGCTTAGCTGACAGAGCAGCAGCAATGGGGCTCTTTGTCAGGGCCAGGAACTGTGACCAGGCTTTGTGTCCAGCCCAGTATGCTCATATGCTTGTGGCTCCCTGCCTCTGAGCTCCCAGCCATCTGCTGCTTTCCATAGTGACATGGTGGTACCTCACAGATGCAAATGAACATTCATGACAAGGGGAAGGAAGGTACCCCAACAACTTCACCCATCTCCCACCCTCCTCCACACACTAAGTCACAGGGTCATAGCTGTCACAAACAGGAGCTCTATTCAGATTCAATGCCACAGTGAGATGAGGACTGAGGCTGAGCAGAGAAAGGAAGCTGGGCCAGGTCAACTGTGTGGGTGTTTGAGTCTAGATGAAGACCAGGTTGTAGGCTCTGGCCTCTCAATCCCATTTTGTTCCACAGCTCTGAAAATTGGCAAGGTAGTTTGGCTTTCTCCCTGGTTAAGATGGTCTGTGTACAAGGGCGCCTAAACTTCTCTTGGAGAACCAACGCTGCATGAATATCAGAGCCCTGGTTTGCAGTCAAAGCCAGTGATGGAGAAATCTAGATGATTACTATGGGAGTGAAGGTTGGTTTGCAGGAATGATAATTCTCAGCCCTTCTCCAAGAAAAGACACAGCCAGGATGCTTTACTTCACCTCTGATAAATGTCAGCTAGAGTCATGACTGGAATGGATTCCAGGAGGAAAAAAATCCCTCCTATCCATCACTCATGATCACGTTTTCCAAGAGCCAACAGGCAAATTGTACAGACAGCAGAAAGTTTCTAAATTCACAAGTCCATGCCCCCTCGCCCCTACCTGGCCTTCTCACCGCTAGCATGGTGATCAAGGCTGCTTTGGCTTACCTATGAAATATGCCAGCAGAATGGCCAAGAGGAGGGCGGCAGCGATGGCAGACAGGGCGGCACATTTCCAACTGCAGTATTTGGAGGGTTTCTTCAGCTTGAAGGCCTTCCTGGAGAACGTATTCCGTGGCAGCAGGCGGGGTGGTGGTGTGTAAACGGTTCCTGAGGTCAAAGGGTATCCTGGGGAAGAGCTGCTGAACAGGGGTGTGCTTCCAGAGGATGTCTTGAAGAGGAAGTGCCTGCAAAGGAAGAGGGAAAAACTCAGCCTGACTGTGGTTGGCTAACAAAGACTTAGTTGTTGTTCCTTTCATTTCTTTCAGTAAAATGTTAGTCAGCTAACCTTCCTTTGGTGGCAGGTGGGGTGGGGGAAAGGAAGGAGGAGGGGGTGTGACAAACATTACTTTGGCTGGCGATACACCTTACTTCCACAAGCTTGCCTAATTTTATACCTTCACAGATGCGTCAAGATTCTACCTTCCAGGACAATCCGGCAAAGTGTTCAAAGCAAATATGAAAAGCGAATTACTGTCATCACTCAGAAATGATGACAATGATGCTGGTGCTAAGTATTATCACATACTAGAGATGCGCAATTGAAAGATACTTGAAATATGTTGTCACCACCGTTTACAAACTAAATGTTATAATATCCCTAATTTAGATATGAAACACCGAATTGGGAGAAGTCAGATAACTGTCTAAGGATTTAAACCCAGAGTTCTGTCTTTTGGTAAAAATCTCTGCTGTTAAATATTATCCCGGGCTGCCTCTCAGTTCTTATACATTTTCATCTCTCCTTCCACAGAGAGTAACCATTAGTTGTCTTTCTTGTTCAGACAGCATCTTTAGGTCTTGTGATCATGGTTCATTAAAAAAAAAAAATCTTTGTCCATCAATTGAACATGGTGTCCTTGGTACTCAGACCTATAATGTGATAACTATATAATAAAACATGAAGTATGAAAAAACAAAAAAACAAACATGTGACCTCTCAGAAGATAGTCACTCCAAAGGCAATTTCCAGAACATCAGTTCTCTGACAATAGGTTGTTTTTTTTGTTTTTTTTTTCCATATAGATACCAAGGATAAGATTTTGAATATGACTGGCTACACTTTATTTAAAACAATGTCTAGGAGATGAAAGGTATGAATGGCTAATCAGATTCTAGAGTCTACCTGTGAGAGGGCAGGATCTGTGTCTCACCTAGGACCTAGTTCATCCTCATATTTTTAAGTACCCAGTTAATATTCCAACATTCAAGGGAGATTTTAGTAAATTAATGCATGCATGAGCACATGAGTGAATAATTGGAGTCCTATTATTTTGCAGTTATATTTGCTGCAATTCTAAAATGTGAAAATGTCAAGAAAGGTATTTCCTTCTTTCTCACACTTTCAGTAGATCCATTTTTATTTTTTGATACAGGGTTTCTCTGTGTAGTTCTGACTGTCCTGGAACTCACTCTGTAGACCAGAGTTGCCTTGACCTCACAGAGCTCCAACTCCCTCTGCCTCCCATATAGTGGGATTAAAGGTGTGTTTCACCTACACCCAGCCAGTAAATGTATTTTTCCCTATTGGCTGTTTATATCTTGTTGTCTTCATGCACCTCGCCTCAGTCCCATTCTGTGTTCAATAAGATTGGCCAAGTATTATAGGTAGAACCCTGAAGTCTGGAGTTAGCTAGTAGGAATATGACATGGGGCTTCCCTTGGTTTGAAAAACAATGGCCCCTAGAGACTTACATATTTGTATACTTGGTCCTCAATTGGTGGAACTGTTTGGGAAAGATTAGGAGGTGTGGCCTTGTTGAAGAATGTATGTCACAGACGTGGGCTTTGAAGTTCTCAGTGTTCTCTCTCTCTGTCTCCTACTTTCAGATCAAGATATGAGCTCTCAGCTGTTCCAGCCAACATGTCTGTTGGCTACTGCCATTCTCCTCCACCATGGCGGACTCTTAACTCTCAGGAGCCGTTGGTCCAATTAAATGCTTTCTTTGAAAAGCTGCTTTGGTCATGGTGTCTTACAACAGCAATAGTGACATAATTAAGACAGGGTTCAAGCTACAGTTTCCCTCTCTCGCTTATTTGCCAAGCGTTCTATAAAGACCGACTATACCATACTGCCCTTTCTGCTGAGGACTAGCAGGCTTTTTCAGAGGTATCTGAAGGCAATATCACTGTCATTTTCAATATTTGTATCTTGACCACATACAGAAAAACATGCAATGTATTTGAATTGTTTATATAAATCAAGCAAGCCTGGTACAATTTGAGGATCAGGTTAGAGATGTGTCTGACTAACAAAACAACAAATATAGCAAACATTAAAGCAGACAAATGATATTTAGACTTCATTTGTGCTGTATATAAGTTCAATTATCTCAATAAAGCTTGCACACTAATTCTATAAGTAAAGGGTTAGGTTTCCTGCCAGTAGCCTGTGCCCATGCACACATACACAGGTGCATGCACACACACACACACACACACACACACACACACACACACACACACACTCAGAGAGAGACACATACAGAGAGAGTATAGAACACACAATGCTATATGTGTGGTGGACAACGTGTGTGAGTTGGCTTTTTTCCTTCTGCTGTGTGAGTTCTGGGGATCAAACTCAGGCTATTAGGCTTGGCAGCAAGCATCCTTAGCCACTAATCCATCTTGCTCGTCCCAAAAGCCCCCCTTTTTTCACTTTTTAAAAATTTATTTATATTTTTATAAATTACAATTTCTTCACTTTGTATCACAGCTGTAGCCCCTCCCTCATCCCCTCCCAATCTCACCTTTCCTCCCTCATCTCCTCCCATGCCCCTCCCCAAGTCCACTGATGGGGAGGTCCTCCTCCTCTTCCATCTGACCCTAGTCTATCAGGTCTCATCAGGACTGGCTGCACTGTGTTCTTCTGTGGACTGGTAAGGCTGCTCCCCCATCAGGGGCAGGTGAACAAAGAGCCAGCCACCGAGTTCATGTCAGAGACAGTTCCTGTTCCCCTTACTAGGGTACACACTTGGAGATTGAGCTGCCATGGGCTACATCTGTGCAGCAGTTCTAGGTTATCTCCATGCACCGTCCTTGGTTGGAGTATCAGTCTCAGAAAAGACCTCTGGGCCCAGAATTTTTTGATCTGTTGCTCTCCTTGTGGAACTCCTGTCCCTTCCACATCTTCTTATCTCTTCTTTCATAAGATACCCTGCACTCTGCCCAAAGTTTGGCTATGAGTCCCAGCATTTCCTTCGACACCTTGCTGGGTAAAATCTTTCAATGGCCCTCTGTGGTAGGCTTCTCTCCTGTTTTTCCTGTTTTCTCCCTCTTCTGATGTCCATCCCCTTTGCCTTTCTGCATGAGGATTGATCATCGTACCCAGGGTCCTCCTCCTTGCTAAAAGCCCTTTTTTAATGGGATCAGCTAATAGTCTTTTGAAGAAGAGTCTCTTGAACACCCTAGGGTTGGTGTTTAAGGGAGCAAGAAAGACTTGTATTGTTTCCTAGCAGTGCTCTTGATGGGCAAGTTAGCTTACACTAGTTACCCAGTCTTACTCTTGAGCATCACTATCACGGGAAATGTAAGCACAGGAGCTGCATATGTAGCTGCACACCAACCATGCAATATCATTTAAGAAAAACTTAGCCTAGAGGGTTTCATAGTAGGTGTTCACTTCTTAATGAGTAGCTTTTATTAAGGAATATTTGAGCAACATAACGAGCTCAAAATGTGAGTTTTAATTTAAAGCTTGGCAACCATGGAACACATGTCAAGATCTTCCAGACATGCTAAGTACTATCCCACTGCCCCATAAACAGTGGAAACAGCCAGCAAAGGTCAAGAGAGGTGGGAAAACCAGGCTCTTGATTTAGGACCCTGTCAGCTTTATCTCTTGGACTACTGTGCACCAGTAAGGAGACATTAATGAGTATTTAAAATATGTACGAGTCCAAGCTTGCATACCTTCAGTGACCTGTTCCTTTCCATGGCTTCAGCCATCACTGACAGGTCTGAAGATCTAGCTCAACTTGCTCCTCAGAAGTAGACCCATGTCTCTACTGTGTACCAGACCATCTTGTCCACTAGAAGAGCAGCCTTGCTCTCATCCACCCAGATATTTCTCCAGTCCTGTAACAGTATTATCCATGTTGCTGTACTTTGGGGGATGGGATGCAAAGCCTCTTTGGTTGTGTGTGTGTGTGGAGAGAGAGAGAGAGAAACAGAGAGACACAGAAAGACAGACACATACACACAGAGACAGAGACAAAGATGGTTTGGTGTGAGTGTGTGTGTGTTTGGTATACACACACATATGTGTGTAAGGGAGGCCAAAGGAGGATGCCAGGTATCCTATTCTATCACTCTACACCTCGCTCCCTTAGGACAGCCTCTCATTGAACATGGAGCTTTGCTTTGGCAAACTCCAGCGATCTTTCCACCTCTTTATAGTCCTGGGGTTATAGGTACAAATGTGGCCTTTTACATTCTGGCTTTTTACACGGTGTTACGGAATCTGAATTCAAGTCCTTATGCTTGCAGTAGTGATACTGAGCCATCTTCCCAGCCTGTAAACCTCATTGACTCTCACCTTGGTCTTTCTCACCTAACCCACCCCACCTGAGTCCCTCCTCACCTTTCCATTACCTATCTGAGAAACCAACCAACACCCTTTCTATTCATCCCTTTGTGCTTTCATGAATCTTATCATGCATTTGGGGCGGTGTCTAACATGTATTCTTTTGAAAAAGTTTTTCTCCAACTAACATGTGACTCCCTGTACACTCAACAGTGGTGGACACTATCCTTAGTACCTGCAGAGTCTAAACACTAGTGCCCAGATAGCAGTCATATTTGTGACCATTGAATGAATGAATGAATGAATGAATGAATAAAACAGTGTTTTGGCAATGTGAGAATAATAAGGTGGAGGTTAAGAAGTTTAAGCTGGATGTAATGATGTTTTGGAGGTACTAATTTTTGGAAAAGGAGAAGGATATGACTATCATAGCTCATGGAAGAGATTTCCTGTATGAAATTCTAATTTTTTTTTTTTTTAAATAAAATCACGTTTGACAACAAAGTGCATTGCCCACGCTTCCTTCTAGAGACATTCCTGGTCTTCTCCCCTCAACCACTAAGTAAAGCTTTCCAACACCACTTAGAATGACATCAGGTCTTTCTCAGGGTCTACAACACCCTGCATGGTCTGACGATGGCACCTCTCCAACCAAAGCCTGTA